ATGGGGACCGTATATAGGAACTTTTGGGACACCCGGTATAAAAATTTTATGATATCTATATATTTAATTATAAGCCAAAAATTAAAAAGGTCAGTATTTTGAAACTTCACTTCCGTATTTACCCACCAACCCATCGTAAACATCATAAACCGATCGTTCTCATCCTAAAACACCCGAGTATTTCAACAAACAGTAAAATACTTCTTTCTACAGCTTAGTGTAGATGTTTTATTGATTTTTATTTGTTTTTTATTTTGTCTAAGTGCCTTTTTATTAGTTACAACAAGTGCTTTGTTTTGTTACTTCTTAACATTACTAAGAGCAAAATTTCGTGTAACGGTTTATCAAAAAAAGGGCCCTAAAAATCAAACACGCTGATATGAGTAATAGCTTGGGTGACTTTAATCCGGGTTAAAATAGAATTTTTATTAAAATTTACTATAACATAAGAAGTAGGCATATTTTTATTGTTATAACTTTATAAACTATAATCAATTTATAAAATAATTCTTATAAATTCTCTTAGTTACAGTTAATAACAAAAGCTAGAAAATATAGTTTGATTTTTATTACAGATACACTGCTTTTACTCCAAAGCATATCAGTTTTACGCTGCCGTTGATACTAGAGGCGGTAAAATGCTGAGACTTAGTGTGCCTTCTCAATATATGGTGGACTCCAGGTTTTTTTCAAAACTTCTTTCGTTGGCCAATACATACGTAACATAATATTAAAGTTGCTTTCTGGTGCAGGCAACCAATTCGACATTTCGCTATTATCAGGTTCATCATTCTGTAGATAAAACGTCAAAGAGCCGTCGGAATTATATTTAAGATCATCTCGGCTGCCGAGTGCATAGCAACTAAGTTTGTTAGATACAAAGAACTGTTGATCATTATACATGGTTAATGACCAAAATGCTTTAACTGGTGGCGTCTCTCCTCGAGCAAAGCTGATAGTGTAGCGATTTTTATTTTTTCCAGTTAATTGATTACCATCGTGATCTATTCGACAACTCGCATAGACAGCGTCTTTAGGCAAATTAGCACCTAGTCCCATAAAGGCAACATATGCTCTAAACAAATAATCTGTTCCATATTGGCCCATATTATCTATCATCACTGACCAGTTATTAATAGATCCTGAAGATATGGTTGATGTAATCTTATTCAACCCTTCACAGGCACCACGTTTGATTGCTTCAGCCACATCATTGCTAAAATGTGTCAAATCAAAGTGCTGACCTGGTGCTACACAGATTTGACTAAACAGTTTCATAGCATTTGCATCGGCGTCAGCTGGTGGATTATTCACCATAAGAGTATTCAGGTAATTAAAAAAAGTAGATGTGTCCAAATCAGCTATTTGTTGAACTGGTGGTTTGTCACTTTCATCATCTTTCTTGGTCACAGGTGCAACATTCTTAGATGGTACATACGAGTTACTCCAGTCACTCAACAGAGTAAGCTTATATTGATCTTGGATGGCATGGACTGATGAAATATCATTGTAATTAGTCTGCGTTCGACCGATAATCCAAACCATATTCGTTGGCGATTTGTATTCTTTGATGCCCTGAGGTAACTTGCCATTCCAACTCGGGCCAATAATAGCAAAGTCTCCAGGGCCGATGCCAATAGTGCGACTACTGATGGAAGCAAACACATTTGTCCATGCATCAAGCA